TGACGCGTCAGCGCGCCTCCGCTTGGCCGCTTTGCGCTTCGCCGTGGCGGAGGCCACGATGGGCGGGTAGAGCGAGTCCGGGGGCACCGGGGCCGCGGAGGACTCCGACTGCGAGAGCCAGCAGCGACCACACCAAAGCAACCGCCGCCCCCTGGAAGCCGCCATTCCGCAGGGCAGCGAGACGGAGAAAGGGAACTGCCTCAGGACCTCGAAAACATGATTGGACGGTAGAAATCACGTGAACAGCCAACCATCCATTCGCCAGGCTCCTGAGAGAGCTAGTGCGCTGCCGGGAAAAAAAGGGGGCGGAGCCTTTCCGCGAGTCGCGCCGTTGGAGTTGCTTGGTCTCCCAGGCACAGCGGCGCCGGTTCTGCGCATGCGCCGTTTGTTCCTCACCGCCCGGTGGGGAGGGAACTACAGTTCCCGAAATGCACAGCGGGACCTGGCCCGGAAGCGTTCGGCCGAGGGGCAACCCTAACCCCCGTTGCGCGGGGGGGGTTGAGGGCGCGATGTGTGGTGGTGGCGGAGGTCGGGGCCCTCAGGCTCCTCCGTAGCCCTCCGGGGGCGGGACGGTCCACGGGAGGTGTGGTGGGAGCTCAGGGATCACGCGTGACCCCACTGTTGTCCGCACTGGCCCAACAGCCAGCGCCCCGGCCTGCCCCCCTCAGCTCCTGACTTGCTTTACGCGGGGCCGTGGCACGACCTGATTACCCCAGTGGACCAGCTTCCCGTCCTGCGGTGGCTGATGGCTTCCTGTGCGTGACAGCCAGCTCTCTCTAGTGCTGTGGGCGTGTGGGTGAAACCCGTGCCGCACTGTGCCTGCTGTGCGCTGTGCGGCCTTGGCCTATGAGATACCTGTAATGCACCTGAGCTGCTGTGGGCTGTTGTAGCTGAAGAGGATCGTCTTGATGACAAACGGGCGTTGATGATTAGCAGTTGAGACAATCTACTCCTGTCAGTGCCACAGGCATCTGTACCGAAGGGTTATACTGGATGTGTCATGTTTCAGTTCTGGGAGTACCAAATATGACTGCAGTCTTTCCAAGGGGGTCTGGAAGTTAAACCTCAGAAATCCTTGATATGATTAACAAATGATTGTTCATATAGAATATATTAGTCACTGATTAAGCTAAGAAATAAAATGGGCTTTCTGCAACAGGTAATACAGCCTTTGTATTACTGAAGAGTTTTTTCGCAGAGAAATAGATGTCTCTGAAGCATTCAAAAAGACAAAAGATTTTTGAACCAAAGCAAATTTCTACGTGTTCATCTTCAGAAGATAATTAAGCCCCTAAGCACTGAAAGATCATTCAGTCTAAACGACAGAGATAAACTCTTTTACACAAACTCTTAGTGAAATCACCGCTACAATTCTTAGGCTTTTTGCTCCTGCAGCTCCTGTTTCAGAACCTGTCTCCTTTCGTGGTTAGAAATGTTCTTCTCATTTCATGTTTAAATGTATTCATGGTCAATTTATACCCTGTTGTCCTTGTGCCAACATCATCCTTTAGCTTAATTAGTTTTTTCCCTCTCCAGTGTTTGCCTTCTAAAACATTGATGGAAACCAGTCATATCACCTGTCAACTGTCATCTATAGAGAGTAAACAAGCTCTTCTAACACAGACAGCTCTCTGTTTCCCTGATCATCCTAACAGCCCTTTCTTGCACTTCCTCCAGTTTTGTGTTTGTCACAGAGATATGTGACCAGACTGTACCCATTATTTCATACAAGAAGGCTGTATTACATGGGAATTACTAACACTTTACCATTGTTGAAAAACCTTTCTTGTCATGCCCTCAAATCACAATTGCCTTCCTCACAGCCTTTAAACGCTGTGAACAATTTTTGCCTAGGATAGATTTTAAACCTTCAGGAAGTTCAGTATAGAAACTTAACATAAGCATATGAAAGTTGAAAGGATTGATTTTATTTTCCCTGCTTTATTCAAAAGATTTAAATGTTTCCTGCACCCTGATACTCACTCTGTAATTAGGCAAGAGGTGTCGGGAACTAGTGCTATGCTTTAATCTACGTTTTAAATCCCTGAGCTGTCTACTGATGCCCTGGTCACAGGTCAACTTTATTTGCTTGGTGTGCTATGTAATAATATTACTTTTCTTGAGCTAGGAATTGCACTGGCTTGGACAAAAGAGCCCAATAGACAGTGTGGTTAGAGTTACTTGCCTTGCTGACAGCTCTGCTGTAACTTTTTAGGAACAATGTTATCCTACCATGGATCTCTCTGTTTTAAAAAGCACACTCACAGAGTTGAGAGAGTATGTGTTTTCCTTCTTTTCCTTTACCGAAGGAAACGCTCTACAGTTTCTAAATTATACTAAGCCTCTAAACACAGAGTGTCTTTATGTTGGTTTAATAAATGCTTAAAAAGATCCTGGATTAGCAAATTCATACCCTGCCTAAAATGCCTGATACAAATGCTAAAATGAATGCTGTAGCCTAGCTATAAATCTCTAAAGTAAAAACTAGAATGAAAATAGCTTCTCAGTTCCAATTGGAAAGTCATTGGAGAGGATTAGTTAGAAGCTCAGAAGCAGTTCAGAGACTGCTACAGTTCACCTAATTCTAACCTACCCTATAGGGTTAATGTGGAAATTATTCTGTGTTTCTGAAACTCAGAACTCAGACAAAGTACATGCCAAGTGCACTCACTCAGAGATGAATTACCGGGCAGGCTCAGTATCTCTTATATACAAGCGTAGAAGATACTTAAATGCAAAAACATCTCCTTCACTATTCTCCTCTAGAGTTGCAGGCACAGCCCAAATAGGATCGCATGGATCACATAGTGCAGGCATATTTTATTGAAGACCCAGCAGGAGGTGTGAGGTCCAGAGTCTGCTTCACATGGCCACAGTGTGGGAATCATGTCACCTGCATGTCATCTGCAGCTGCTAAGAAAGGATTCAGTCCTCTCACCCATTCGGCCATTTCTTTCATGCCTGTGCCTTGGTGCTGGCACGTTCATTTTCTCAGGGTGCTGCAGCTTATTTTAGAAGGAAGAGACAGGAGATAACAGTGAGATTAAAGCCCTTCAAATTAGAAAGCCTCCAAAGGGAGCAACAAGCCAGACATGGGTTTTGTTGTAGGTTCAGTGACAAAAGATATTGTCTAGAGTAGACTCTACACTTTTAACTAGTGTAAATGTCTGAGAACATACTGAGAGACAATGATGTTCCATTTAAGTTCTGTTTGGAAAGTTAGTTCAAAGATACAGCAAAAATAGATTAGAAATCCATTCTGGATTGAAAAGAGTCTCTAGAGATGTGAGAAGCAAAGTTACTAATTAATATCAAATTAATATCAGGTATTTGTTTTGTAGTAGCATCTCAAGGCCTCAGATAAAGACCAAAGCTCTGTTGTATATATATATACAACACACACATAATGAATAAGACGACTCCTGTGTCACAGATCTTACACAAAGAAATGATTACAAATATCACTGTTATTCTAGTGTGTGTGCATCACTTCAAAAACAACCACCAACAACGATCCCCACCACAGAATGAAAGTCATGGGACAATCATCAGGATATCTCTGTAATCCCTCACTGAAGGGGTGATCCCACAAGTGACTAAGGAGTTCCCAGGAGATCAGGAGAACATGGAAGGTTCTCCTTCCATGCTTTAAATTGCTTTAAATTATCATCTGGCAGCTGTCATTGTTACACATAATCTATTTTAAAATAATCCTAGGACATAGGACAAGTCATAAAATAATGAATATCTGTCAACAGCGCAGATTGTGTCTGTTACAGTCTGTGGCATTTTAAATGGAGAATACAGTCCTGCTGATGTTACCTAAGGTAGCAAATGCTGTAGCCTGTACGTAAAACAATAAATCTGTAAATACAGAAATCCCAATCCAAGAAGACGGAAGAAGCTGACACCCTCTTTTCCCATTAAATTGGTCAGACGGAGAGACAGTACAAGCATGAATATGACACTCTTTTTTTCCTCCAGTGAATATCTAATATCACGCTTGCTTTGAAGAACACTGAACTTGTAGTTCTTCTAAACAGAGCAGTGCCAATAACAGGTTGGATTAATTTAAAGCAACCCATGCCATATCTACATGCAGTAGGGAAGAGCCATCATCACCTTTACTAACTGAAATCTATGGCAAAAACATGCTTCCCATATGATTTTCCAAATACTTCTTTAAGAATGCGTATATACATGCATATGAGAGGCTGAGCTCTTCTAGTATACATCGTCCAAGATTAAAATGCTTCTAGGACTATATAATGCTCCAAGCAGCACCAATTAGAATTCAGTTTGTGTTGTGTTTCAACTGCTGTTTTATTGTAGCTTCTCAGACAAATTCCGTTTGGGCTAAAATTGACCGTGTTTGCCTATAGATCAAAGATCTTCCTCCCTCCTCTCCCCTTCCCTCCCCCCATGCCATTTTCAGCAAAATCAAAGCACCTTTGTTAGAAGGCTATGGGAATGGGGAGGAAAAGATGTATTTCAGATCTAAACTTCTCCTTAATTAAGACAAAAATGTTAAAAGAATAAACTTCAAAGTTGAACTACTTTCTAGGTCTCACATGAGATCTGAGAGTCCAGATGAACTTAATGAAAGGCCCTTCCATTGTTTTAAAGCAAAGAGCCTTCCAACTGGGAATTCCAAAGACGCACAGTAAAATCCTACCTTCTGTGTTTTTCAATACCATTACAGCAGAGCAGCTGAGAACGGTGATGACATTTAAGACCACTCTAGCTTCATAGGGCTGTAAAGATAAAAGCTTATCTTGAAGACATGGTTTGACAAAGCTTAGCTTCACTCCATCAGTGCCCATTAGCTAAAAAATTCAGAAATCCTTAGGGAGTAGTAGACTTCTTAGTCTGTTTTATATAGTGTTTCAGTGCTATTGTAACAATTACAAAAGAATACCTCACACATTGCCCATGCATTTGGGGACAAATGTAACTAGTAACATCCCAAATGTGCCCTTTCAGGCCATTATATGCACCTGAGACAAGTTATCCTAAAGGCTGCTTTGTATGTGCAGAAAATACAGGAGTATGAGTTAATTTTACCCTCGTTCTTGCAGATAATTTCATGCTAAATGAAAAATCTTTACTGTGATATTAGTGAATAATCTAAAAGAAAGAGAAGTTGATTGACTGGAGGAAATAATATATGGTCACTTTGAAAGGCAAGTAGAGCTGTTTGGATTCTGATGAGAAAAGCAAATGATTCAAATATTTGCACTAAGAGACTTGTTGTTCACACACTTATAATATCCAGCGGCTGAAAAATG